CCCAAGAGAAAATATTTTGTTTTGGCTACAGAGTCCCCTCTATCACAAATCCCCCCTCCCTATCCCTCAGCTTCACACTGGCAACACTGAAGCGGTGAAAAATGGCTTTGATAAGTCAGCTTCAGGGTTGATAACTCACTTTCACCATGCTTGTTAAGTGAATCACCCATGGTCGCTAAACAAGACATAAACTGCAAGTTATGATTTTACTATTGATTCTGCTTTTTGGAAACTGACAGTGAGGTGTGGAAGTGATGATTATGTGACTGGAGAACACTTCAATGGTTGTAAGTTCGAGAACTGGTTGTAAAGTTACTTTTTCAGCTCCATTGTAACTTTCAGAGGTCTCTAAACACGGCATCATTAACCAGGGACTACTTATACTAAAAATCCTACTTTAAATGCTCATTCACACAATACCATCTTTGCAGCTCTGCAGAAAAGCAATAAAAAATATCCCAAGCATACTTCTGGCAGCCATGATCTGTGGTAGGAGGGCCATCAGGCAGAAGGATTGCCTTTGCACACCTTTTTTTAAGTAACAGTGAACCATATCCCATTTCCAAGTCAATAGAGGTCAAATAAAGCTAAATTCTTAACTTTTAAATAATTCAAAATTTATTGTTTTCAGCTGTATAATTTACTTTTCTAATTTAACATTCTATACATGGAGCAATTAAAACCCTATCTATGGAGTTTCATCACCTACTTTTTTTGGCAGGGAATGGTTGTCGAGAAAAGTGGGAGAAAGGAAGTAGAACTGAATCTTTTCTCTTTCCCATTTCTTACATGAACATGCAAACCTGGACATTGGAACAGAGGACTAAAACATATGAAGAACAGTTGCAGGATTTGAGTTTGGTTAATCTAGAGAAAAGGGCTGGGAGGACATGATAGCAGTATTTCCGTATTTGAGAGGCTGCCACAAAGAGAAGGGCTTCAACTTACTTACCAAAGCATCAGAGGGCAGGACAAGAAATAATGGACAGAAACTAATCAAGGAGAGAAGCAACCTGGAATTAAGGAGAAACTTCCTAACAGTGAGGACAATTAATCAGTGGAACAGATTGCCTTCACAAGTTGTGGGTGCTTCATCACTGAAAGTTTTTAAGAGGAGACTGGACAGCCACTTGTCTGAAATGGTATAGGATCTCCTGCTTGAGCAAGGGGCTGGACTAGAAGACCTCCAAGGTCCTTTCCAGCTCTATTCTGATTCTAGTATGGACTTCATACACAAGATTAAAATCCATTTATAGTCCTTAATTTTGCTATAGATACTCTGCAGGAGCTTGCAGTTCTCTTTCATTATAGTTCTTACTTGTAATTTTAATGGTAAATGCACAATCTTATGACAGTGTTTTAAATAATGTTCATTTATCAGGACAGTAATATATTTCCATTCAAAAGAACAACTCTCCATCCATGCAGTTTTCTTGACAACAGTGTTTGTGAGTGTGTGGAGAGGATACTTGGCATTATCATTCTCGGGGATAATTTTTCAATATTACAGTATAACAGATAACCTTTGGATTTGCTAGTAGTATCTCTTTCAAGTACTTATCAGATCCGAATATACTTAGCTATTTTCATATTGGCCAAGGTTGGTCCAATCTCCCTGTCCCATGGATGGCCCAACCCTTTTAGTTCTGAATCCTTTGAAGAAACTTTTGAGCATTGAAAATTATAACTTTATTTATCCATAAAGATTTTCTCTAGAGCAGTCTCAGAAAGTCTAGTGTGCCTGGGCTTCAGGCAAGGATACTGCTTATAAGGACAAAATCAGGAAGAAAACAAAATTAAATAGTTTAAAAAATTAATAAGTAAAGAGTGATTTGCAGAGGGATAAACAGAGGAGGATTAAGCAAAAACAAAATAAAACAAACCTACTGCGACTATATTGTTATAACTGTTACTAAAATAGAAAATGGGAGGTAATTGGAAAGGAGATCAATCAAAAGTTGGAAAAGCAAACTACGAAGGGAAAATCAAGTGACAGTAGCAATGAGGGTGATGAAAAATAAAATTGGTTGTTAACTAGAGAAACGTTGCCATACAAAAATTATTTCTGTGTTTCCAAAAAAAAAAAAAAAAAAAGCATTTCACCAGATGGCCAAAAGGTTGCAACTGGAATTTACTTGTAATGATTATCTTCATTTGAAGCTCAACCCATTGATCTCTGTGTCCCATGCTGCTTGTCCCCATCAATATCTGATATGAACAAGCACCAGATGGTTTTCCCTTCTTGGTTGAAGGCATGCATCTTTTTCTATTCAGCGCACCAAGTTTCTGAATCATAGGACAGACCCAGGGAGGAGGTTGAAAGAGAAGAAAGTGATTCAGACATCTATACTATGTCCAGCTTCAAGAATGAGTGCCAAAGAACAGTACTCAGATAATTTTCCCCCCCTTGGACAGCAAGAAACAGAGTAATGGGATGGCTTGAGAACAAGGCTCTTGGATTCTGACCAGTACAGTCAAGCTGAGTCAAGAATGTTGGAAACTAGCACTTCTTTGCAGAAAGCTGAAATGTATGTTTTCTCCAGAATATTCTGTTTTTAAAATATTTATTTCAAATTCTATGGACAGCATTCTGAAATTGTTAATTCAAACATTATTATTACCAGCAATAGCCAAAGTTAAAAATAAAAGCCTGACACTACATAATATCACAACCAATAAAGGATTCAAACTTCACCTGAAATTAGACTACTTATCATGTGTATAATATCTTCCTCCAAGTTCTCTAGGGAGACATAGATTGTTCAGTTCTTCATCAGAAGAGTATAGTGAAATTGAATAGAAAATAAAGAATTATGACCAGCACAAAGCCACCTAATCAACTTCATGGTTGAAGTCCAAACACCACACATACAAACAGACCCTTTTCTTTTCTGAGGGGTGTGTCTGTTAAAAACTTGATCAAACCTGTTTTAGAGCTTATGCTGCAGTTTCTGTATACTTCCCACATGTTTGGAAACTGCCACTAAATCCAGCTACAGATTTCATGGAATTGCAAAAAGGGGTTCAGGAGGCAGGTGTCATTGTGGAGCTACAGGTTGCCTACCCAAGCTCAGTTTCCATCTCCAGGAAAATCTAGATGAATCCAATTGTTGGAATTCTCATTTCCTTGTAACTGAAAGAGATCCCAGATCATTTCATTCAGAAGGTTTGAAACTGAGCCAATGTATCATGCTTTCAAAGCTCAGTGAAAGCTGTTTACATTGGAAGTATTGGACAGAAGGGGAATAATATTCCTTTGTCTTTGGAAAATGTGTAACTGCCATTTTCAGTTCAGTTGAAAGCCTCCTTTTTCCTAACAAAGCATGAATATTTTCTGTTCTGCAGGTATAGAGTTCCAGTTCAGCCATCTTAATTCTTTCAGAGGAGTAAAGATCAAACATAGACATGGTTAGCTTCTCTTCTTATAACAATCCAATCTGCAGAGTCAAATGAACAGGGTAAGATATATCTATGGAGACTTGATAAGGGATAGTTACTACCAATTACAGTTCTGTATACCTTGATACCATGTGAACATGAAACTACATGGATTTGTCCATCACAAAACAGAGCAGATCCTGGTGATGAAATTTTGCTCACTTGGAGATATTTGCCATATCAATATGCTCTTTCCAACATAATTTTTTACCTGACATATTACCGCATTTCAGATAGGATTACAAATACATGTTCAGTATGGGCATAGAATAAAGCTAGATTAAATAATGGGTAAAACTCATCCCACACCCCAAATAAAAGAGAATCCAGCTACAACAGAATTAAACATGCCTGCAGTGTAAAACTGAGCACATTATGGGAGACACATATGTACGTTTGTCACAGGAGCACAGGAGTGTGTCTTGTGAGGAAGCATTTTACCATGAAATATATTTCTTTTCTTCAAGAGCTGACATCTTCCCTTTTTCGTCAAATGCAAAATATCCCCCTCACTCTGGCTGAAAAAAGTGAAACACCCAGACTAGATTGCATGGTTGAAATTAAGAAGGGGAGGGAAATGCCATTAAATCCTAATAAAACAAGTCAAATCTCCCATTACATTACTTACAAAAAACACACACCCTCTGCAGGATTGTTTTTCAATGCATCTCTTAAAATGATTTAGAGATTAAATTCTATTGGTCCCTGCTTCACCTTCATCTCCAGTTTAATGAAAGTGGACACAGGCACTAACGCTAATGCAGCAGCTATAACCGGGGTGTCTTGGCAAAGAAGCCAGATTAAAGTGAAATCATTTCCTTTACATGCTGAAATATTGACCTGTTTCTTCCTAAAATAAAAGCAACACATCTGTAACACACACAAAGCAAAACATGGAGAAAAGGACTGGGTTAAAACAAGACTGCATCACATTTTGATGGTTCAGATAAATCTTCCTTGTATCATCTCCATGACAACCCTACAAGGTGGATGTTACACTGCTGAACTGATGCTTAAATGAAGTGATGATATAAAATACAGCATCAAATGCATCAGATTTTTTTTTCATATGCCCTTTCTGTGCATAATGAATGGTAATTTAGCTGTGTGTGTGTTTTAAATAAGTATCAACTCACAATCAAACTTATTGCTTTCCATGTCTGGATCTTTGAGGCTGGACAAGGCAAAATATGAACATAATTATTTGAACAGTTCATTTTTCATTTCCTAGTCTAATAATTCATATATCAAAATAAGTTACTTGTCTAAATGAGTCAAGGCATATGAAAGCAATTAAATGAAAATATGGTGGTGCTTCATTAAAACAATAATATTTACATCTCAGCCTGTAGGAACATATTTAGAATATGCTTATTGAGACATATGTACATACATTCATTTGAGCATGCTAGAGATAAATGAAACCCTAGTAACTGCGGTTGTAAGCAAATGCAAGATATATTCATGATGAGTGTAAGATTAATAAAGCACATATTCAAGAAAAATATGCCACAGGGTGAATAGATATAGGATCAAATCAAGCAGGTTGTATTTCCACTTACCAGAGCTAAAATGTTTCCCCCCAAACGCAGTTTGTTTTGCACCACAATCCATGCAAATCAGCAGCAGCTATTTGTAAGAAGTCATCCTGTTCCTCATGCCTTCCCAGACTTTCTTCTTTTTGACTCCCTCCCTTACCATTACTACTTGCAAGGGTTTACGCCTCCCTAGCTTTTCCTTCAGGTGTCAAAAATTTGCCAGGAATCAGGTTGCAGAAAAGGCAGGAGGGGACAAAAGGGAGGGGGAAGGAGAAAGAAGATTGGACCAGAATAATCGTCGGAGCTCACCGCTCACATTCGGTGCGGAACAGTAGGAGAAAACTGATGCATGAGGCTTTGGGTGAATATGCAGATAAAGCAGCTAGCCATTGAGGCAGCAGCTCCTAGTGCAAGAGGGAGCAAACCTCTCAGAGTATTTCACATTTTCCTCAAAGATCTGAGAGATGGATGATTCTGCTAGCCAATCAGATACTTGGAAACTGGAAACTAGGAAATTCCTGCCAAACAGGCAAGCTGTCTTTAAGAAAATGGGATGCATACAAAGCAACAGCTTCAGTAAAATTCACAGGAATACATTCACTTGATGAGTCCATCCTTTACACACATACCCACACACACCAATAATTTTATCACAAAAAGGAACCTTCTACCTGGCTTCCAAATGCTTTGATTGGGTTGGTTATTTTCTCTTATATGACTTTTTTTTGGTTGACCAGTGTTTTCAGACCCAGAAACATACATGCCACTGCAGTCTTCTCCTCAACACAACAATCTACCTATGAAACATCCATGAAACATATATACTGAGAAGTGGGGTGGGGAATCAGAGGAGAATTGATCTCAAGCTGGATGGTTTTAGTTTATTGTATTAAACATGAAAGAAAGACCAATTATGGGAAATTGCTGGGGAAAGGAAGAAGCAGAGGCCAAGCATGTACAGGGGACAAGATGGAGGAACAGGCTGCATTGTAGGCGAGTGGGAAAGGCCAACAGTATGCAGGGGATAGTCTCTCCCCTCCCCCTCCCCCTCCCCCCAAGCATATCTGATTCAAACATTTGCAGATATTTGACCAAGGAGGGAGTGGTTTTGTTCACTGCTGTTCCTGCACTGAGCAAGGTACATTGTGAGAGAATATGCACACCTACTTCCATGGGAATCATTAGGGAAATTAGTTGACCTTCTCAGTCTTAAATACCAGTAACAACAACAACAACAATAATAATAATGAAAGTATCCCCAAAGTAACATGGCTTTCCTGTGGAAATGACTATGGTAGAATCCAAAGAATTAGTGAAGTAATATAAAATAATAATACTAGAATGATAAAGAATGATTCATTTATGCCTATTTGAGATTGTGTACCAATTTGAAATCCCAATTTGAAATCCCAATCAGTGAAAAAGCTAAGAACAATATACCTAGAACCAATTTGAGACAATGATTCTTTTTAATGTTTTAACTTTAAAAATCCTGACATTATGCTTAGAACCTTCTTTTGATACTCTCTCCGTATTCAAATATTTTTGTAATACATGTAGTTCTCAATGTACAACAGTTCATTTAGTGACCATTCAAAGTTACAAGAGGACTAAAAAAAGTGACTTATGACTGTTTTTCACACTTACAACCATTGCGACATCTCTGTGGTCATGTGATCAAAATTTGGATGCTTAACTACTGACGCATAGCAACTGCAACTACTGATGGTTGCAGTGTCCCAGTGACACGTGATCACTTTTTGCAACCTTCTTATAAGCAAAGTCAATAGGAAAGCCAGATTCACTTAACAGCCAGGTTACTAACTTAATAACTACAATGATTTATTTAATAACTGTGGGAAGAAAAGTCATAAAATGGGACAAAATTCACTTAACAAATGTTTCACTTAGCAATTTCTGGATATTGACTTGTACTGTTAATTTTTCATTATTTCTTCAATGTTTGGTACTTTGTAACTACATTTAATTATATCTCCACATCAATCAATTAGAATAGAGCCAGAAGAGACCTTGGAGGTCTTCTAGTCTGATATCTGATGCCTTGCATATTGTGACAGTCAATTTTCAGATTATCTGATACATAACAATCAATTATTAACATGGCCCAAAGGAATACATGAAACATCAACACATGTATAAAGAATCAATATTTTAAAATATATAATAAAGTCACAACAATATTTAAAAAGTCATTTAATTAATTCAGAACTGTTCAAAACAGGCAACTTTTATTTTTTTAATTTATTTATATTCCACCATTATTATTTTTATAAACAACTCAAGGTGGCGAACATACCTTCCTCCACTTATTTTCCCCACAACAATAATGCTGTGAGGTGGGTTGGGCTGAAGAGGGAGTGATTGGCCCAAAGACACCCAGCCTAAGACAGGACTAGACCTCATGGTCTCTGGCTTTCTAGCCTGGTGCCTTAACTTTAGCTATCCATTTTCTACTGAAGTTTATACTGGAGTATAAAACTAGACTCCGAGTCTGAAAAGTGGAGGTTTCTCAGGTTTCACAAGTTCACCAAATCTCATTTTGTAGCATATGAATATAGCAAGTCAGCTACATGCATACCTTAACTCAGGCCATAAGCAATACTATTTTGAATAGATTACATCATATCATCTTTTTTCTTGAACAATGTGTCTCGATAGTGAACAGTCAGTTGCCACAAGCCAAATAAGCTGGTAAATATAGAAGATTACCAATTGTGTTGACATGTTTGACTTCCTCTCTGTGATCTTTCCTCATTCATCAACTCCAACTGGGATAAACCCACAGGACAATTGTAGCACGTTCAACCTGTTTTGGGACAGTTTGGAGCTTCTTGCTCTTAACCTTGCAGGTGCTAAAGACATCATTATATCACGTAGTCCATCACAGTAGGCTCTGCAACAAACCACAAAGATACCAAATTATAATATTGATACAGTGCTTCATGTACCATGTTTCCCCAAAAATAAGACCCAACTAGAAAATAAGCCCTAGCATGATTTTTAAGAAGCTTGTAATGCAAGCCCTACCCCAAAAATAAGCCCCAGTTAGCACTCTTGCTTGTCAGGTGGGCATGGACAGCACAGGAGGTGGCAACACGCGGGGGCCAATAGCGTCTGGCAGCAACCGCAGCCCACCAGCCCCTTGGCCAGCATAGTCTGGGGCTGTGCAACCCGGGCAGCGCAGGTGAGTCCAAGTGCTGCAACCACCAGGCTGGCCCTCCAAGCAGCAGGCAGAGGAAGAGGTGCAGGGGGGAGGCACATGATCTGGCTTGCCATAGGCGTCACGTGGCCACCTGCCCCATTGTGGTCACGAGCAAACAAAGACAGACAGTGGGATGGAGTGGGTGAGCTGCATCTGCTTTGCATGCCGGGTGTGGAGTGTCCAGCTGGGCTGATCACCCTGGTACATGTTTCCCTGAAAATAAGGGAATGCATCTTTCTTTCCCTAATGCATCTTTGGACCGAAATAAAATATAAGACAGGGTCTTATTTTCAGGGAAACATGGTAAATGCTGCAATTACATATACTGTATACAAAATTCAGAATAACAGAATTAGAAGGGACCTTGGGGGTCTTTTAATCCTACCTCCTGCTCAGGCAGGAGACTATACTATTCCAAAAAAGTGACTGTCCAATCTCTTCTTGAAATCCTCCATAATGGATTGCCCACAACTTTTGAAGCCAAGCCATTCCACTGATTAATTATTCTCATTGTCAGGAAATTTCTCCTTAATTCTCAGTTGGTTATCTTTTTGTTTGGCTTCCATCCACTTTTTGTCTTGCTCTCAGATGCTTTGGAGAATAGGTCGACACCACCCCCCCTTCTCTCTGACAGCTCCTCATATAGAAAACTGTTATTATGTCATCCATAATCCTACTCTTCATTAGACTAGACATACCCAGTTCCCATAACCATTCATCGTATGTTTTAGGCTCTAGTCCCCTAATCATCTTTGTTGTTCTTCTCTGCATTCTTTCTAGTCTCAACATCTTTTTTGTGTCATAGTGACCAAAACTGGATGCAGAACTCTAAGTGTGGTCTTATCAGTGCAGTATAAAGCAGTATTAACATTTCATGTGATCCTTGTTACTATCTTTCTGTTGATGCAGTCTAGGATTGGGTTTTTTGGCAGCTGCAGCAAATTGCTAGCTCATACTTAAGTGGTTGTACCCTAGGATATCCGTATCCCTCTCATAATTACTGCTGTTGAGACCAGGTCCCACCTATTCTATACCTACGCATTTGTGTTGGGCTTTTTTTGCCTAAGTATAAAATTTTACTTTTCTCACTGCTGAATTGCATTTTTTACTCATTTACTTATTTATTTATATCCTGCCTTTATTATTTTTATAAATAAAACAAGGGGGCGAACATGCTTAATACTTCTTCCTCCTTCTATTTTCCCCAAGACAGCAATCTTGTGAGGTGAGGTTGGGCTGAAAGAGTGACTGGCCCAAAGCCACCCAGTTGGCTTTCATGGCTAAGGCAGGACTTGAATTCACTATCTCCCACTTTCTAGTCTGTGCCTTAACCAGATTGGCTCTTTAGGGTTCACTGTTCAAGTCAGTCATTCATGCCTTATGATAACTAACATAAGATGTAAGTTGCGGGATTTGTTTGATGATTTCACCAGGCATGAATCATTCATCTCCTATAGATGCCCATCACCTCTCTCCCCTCAGATGAGTTCAGTACAGCATTTAAGGGGAAAATAGATGCTTTGAGTTTTTGCACAGTTTAACTCAAGTATCCATAAAACTGAGCCATTCAATCCACTGGTAATATCTTTAAAGAAGATAATGAACTCAAAAGTATTCCAAATCACTGAAAGGGAAATTGTATTATTTATTACAACATCCTGTCTTCTTGTACTATTTGGCTGGTTCCTTTTTGTGAGACAACTAAGTCAAATAATAGGCTGTTTGATCACTATATGATATTCTGTTTCAGACAATTCCTCATTTAATCGCCTTTTTCTCTTTTTAAATATGTAAGGGATGAAAGTCATATGGGTGTTCTTTCAAATTTTCTAAAATACATACATACAAATGTGCCTCATATAAGTCTATGAAGTTATCATGTATCATTCAGGGGTGAAATCCAGCAGGTTCTGACAGGTTCTGGAGAACTGGTAGTGGAAATTTTGAGTAGTTTGGAGAACCGGCAAATACCACCTCTGGCTGACCCCAGAGTGGGATGGGAATGGAGATTTTGCAGTATCCTTCCCCTGCCATGCCCACCAAGCCACGCCCACAGAATCGGTAGTAAAAAAAATTGAATTTCACCAATGGTATCATGTATTCACGACTCAAACAATCTATCCAAGTCTTGTCTCTCCTTCAACTATCAGCAAGAGTTGGAAGACTTTATATCAAAATGCTTTCCCATTAAAGATTGTGGCTGAAGTAATTTCTCTTTTGAAATGTTATTATAATTTCCCAGGTTTTGCTTGCACAGGAATAAC